TGACGCTGAACAAAAGTCTACAGCATCATTCAATTTATACATTCGATTTCCTTGATCCCAAAATCATTCAGGACATTTGGTAGAATGTCTGGTTACAAAGTAACAAAATTCATTTGATTCAGATTGACAGTAATAGATATGTATGACAATATATTTTGCATTTGAAACAGAGAAATGATTTTTGGCATGTCGAAGGAAGCTGAGACAAACTCCTCATAGGAAGGCCGCAGCGTAGACTGGAACCCCGAATATCAGGAGTGTTCGGCAGATATGCTGTCCATTCCCACACCATTAGGTCTGAGTCGAAAAAGTTTGTAAGCGTGTCATTGTTCTCTTACGCAACAGCTTCAGAGGTTCACTGTGATCCGAGCTGCAGTCCTGCAGTGTTGCCACGTTGTCTATGGAGTCGTTAAGCACCAGTTTCATGTCGAGCATGCCCCTCTTCATCACAAGTGCAAAAGAAAGACGAGTAAATGACACCGGTTCACGTGCGATGAACATAAATATTCATTTCTTGTACCTGCAGCGTCCTAAGTGCGACTGAATTCGGACCGCGAGGGATGGATCCAAAGGCAGCCGGCAAGTCATCCAGAGTGTGGGCCAACCTGCAGTCCACATAGATGTTGAGGCGAGGGGGGCCGCGTTGCAGACCGCTGGCGTGCAGCAGAACGTGGTGGTCATTGCCATCGGCCAGGGAACCGTGGTTAAAACTGGTTGCGGCATATCGGCCGTCAGTCTTCTGGTAACGCAGGGTGACTAGAGACGGATGGAGACCATGTTGAAAGGGAGCGACGGTGTCACTGGCAGCACAGGATTCGGTAGAATCTCTCACCTTTGCTCAGTTTGGCCTGCACATTGAGCTCCAGGTACTTGCTGTTATCTTTGGGGTTAACGATGCTGAAAATGGATGTGGGGGCCTTGGTTTGGAGTTTGAAAGACGAGAGCAGAAAGGCCTCATCCCGCCCTTTATTCTTTAAGCTTCCTTGAAGTAAGTCTGGCAGGCAGTCTGGCGACACCAGAAGGTCGTACACTAACACAGGAAAGTCAACTTGTTACCACTAACATGAGCGGAAGCTCTGAAAGGCCAACATGATACTTTTCATGATGGTGGTCAACATCAGACTTGTGGGAGATGATCACTTTTTTTCCCTTGGGACATCACGGAAACAGAAATCATTCGGTTTGATATCAAATTGACAAATTTATTATCTATGCAGGCATTTTCAAGAAACGATTTTACATTGATTTACATTTATGATTGACATTGACCATTAATTCCCAGAGACAGCTGTTCAGTAGATGCTAAATATGCATTGCATTGGGTTAGCAGTATCAACCATACTAGTGTAATAACATTTGAAAGTGTTGTTACTAAGACATGCAGTCCCCTCCAAAAGAATTGGAACGGCCAGGTTTGTTTTTGTTGTATACCGAAGACATTTGGGTTTCAGAACAAAACTCAACCCAACACAACTCAACTTTGATAAATAGGAGACCAAAGTTGCGAATTCCAGCTTTTCTTTCATGGTATTTACTTTTTGGTGTGTTATGTGTTTAACAACTCAGGTCTCACAAGCCACTGTTTGAAGAAGACTTTGAGAGAAGAAATATACAGGCCATACCACAAGATGCAAACCACTCATCAGCAAAAACAATTGGAAGGGATTTTGCAAAGAAGTATAGCGATAAGACACAAAAGTCTTGCAACAAAGTTTTACGGACGAATGAGACCAAGATTAAACTCTACCAAAGTGAGGGCTGAATATGGAGAAAGAAAGGATCTGCTTGTGATCCAAAACTCACAAGCTCATAATGTCATGGCTTGGGCTTACATGGCTGCTTCTGGGATGGGCTCACTGGTCTTTATTGATGCTGTGAGTCATGATGGTGGCAGCAGAATGAATTCTGAAGTCTACAAAACCATGTTGCCTTGCAATTTATGAGGAAAAATGCATCCAAATTACTTGGGAGAAGCTTCATCATGCAACAAGACAATCACCCAAATCACGCTGCCGACACAACAAAGGACTTCATCGGGCGAGAAAAGGGGAAGGTCTTAGACTGGCCAAGTCAATCACCTGACCTTAACTCGAGAAAGCATGTATTTCACCTCCTGAAGTGGAGAATGAAGGGAGAAACCCAGAGAAACAAAGAAGAACTGAAAGACGATGCAGTAGAGGCCTGGAAAAGCTTTTCAAAAGAGGAATGCACTGAACTCTCTGCTGAAGTCAATTGACACCATTATTTCAAATAAAGGGTGTGCCACTAAATCTTAGATGTTATCACTTGAAGTTCATTGAAAAATATCTGTTCCAATACTTTTGCTCACTTGAAAAATGGTTGGCTTGAAACAGAAGGTGCTCCGTCCTGAACTGTTTAACAGATCTAGATGTGAATACCATGAAATAAAAGCTGCACTTTGGAATTTGTGATTCATATTTCTCTTTTGATCTGGAACTCAAATACCTTCAGTATACAATAAAAACAAAGGAATTGACCGTGCCTTTCCAAAACCTTTGGAAAGGACTGTCGAACTAAAACCCGATTTAACGTTGAAAAATTGAACCAGTTCAAAACAACAAAAACAACCGAGTTGCAGTGATGACGTCCACAATGGACAAACGTTTCAGGACAGGCTGCTCTTATTGCTTTGATGTGAGTCTGCTTTTAAAAAGTCAGCTCACAAAAACCACAACATGCCACGAAAAACTCAAAAGCATCCAAATGGTGCTCCGGGGGTACTGTGGATTGGCTTTGCTGAGTCACTTTATGAAGTGTGACAGGGTGTCCACGTGTGCATGTGACCTACGTGTGAGAAACCGCTCGTGTTTCTAGCCTGCTGTCTTTTATAGAGTGACGGACGGTGGAGCTGCCGCAAGGAGCCCAAGCGGAGGCGCACACTCTTTCCACTGGAGCCAAGCCACTCGTTTCATATTCACATGCATGCAACCATTTGACAGGAAAATGATGTGGAAAGAAATGCTATGTTGTTTCCAAGCCAATCAGGCAGATGCACTTTTTCAGATGCCGGGTAGAGCTGCTTTACCAATCAAGACTCTCCTATTCAACGTTTTTTTTCTCCAATCTCCTCAAAACAAGTGAATTTGCAAAGGCCTCCGTCAAGGCTACACGATGCAATCTCAATTCCTTACAATGTTACCAAAAGTGGGGTTCCACCATAGGGATGACCGGACCAATAGGTCATTTATTAATATCTTGATTGGTTGTTCAAAATTGTGACTTTTAAAATGGAGTGCGCTCTTGGCTCCAAACAGCAGATGCACTGTTCCACAGTCTCAACTAAAATTCTTTTTGAAGCAGCAACAATCAAAACATGAGATCGGAACATTCAGTGAGACGTTCTCATCCCATTATCATTTTTTTGTATTTATTATTCATTGATCTTGGTCAACACAAAAGCCGAAACCTTTTGGGGTATGACCAACTACTCCTAAAGTTTTGTTGCAATTGGTTTCGTGGTCTGACAGAATTAAACCCTTCAGTGAACATGTTTGAGCTCTTGAAAATTCTCAATTTCAGCCCATCACAGTCGTTGAAAAGACAAAGCCTTTTCCAAAACATAATATATGCCAAATTTTAAACCATATCATTCCACTGTTTGCAAACTTCATATATCATAACAATACAAAAGTGAGGCATGACCCAACTAGGTGTCCTTTCCCCCGAGGAAGTCCTCCACTTTAAAATGCGTCACAACACAATCCTGCATTGAATGCTGTTTGCACATGAAGAAAAGAAAAAAGGTAGCCAGGACTCACCAATGCCTTGAGCTGTCGCAGTGATCAACAACTGATGCAGCACCAGAGACAGAGCCAAGGCTCCAGGCCACACAATCATCGTCTCCAGTTAGAAAACGATCTGCTCTGAGAAGTTTGACTCGACTGTGCTGGAGGAAGTCTAGCACCCAGATGTTGAGGCAAATATTCAGCAGAGGTGAGGTGGCTATTTGGCCACAGGCGCAGCTTTAAAAGCAGAGGGGAGTGCCCGCCCTCATATGTTGCAAAACAGTGGCTGGCAGTGACCATCGACTCATGCACCAATAAAAAAGAAAAGAAGAAAATAAGGTAAAAGTCAAGACCGGAAGTGAATGGGAGTGATAATGGATAAAATTAGGGTACCCTGAATGCATTTTGTGGGAAGTGCTATTTGAATTATATGCGTATGTATAAGGCCTGCTATGTATGTGTTTATTATGGATCTAGTTTTCCTGTAATGCAGTTTTTAAAAGAAAGTTGAAATTCTTAGCAAGGGGCACATTTCAATGACAAAAATGATTTGGATTTTGCGTAAAGGAGCTTTGTGAGAGCATTATCTGTAATCTTGTGGCTCAGTTTTTTCAGGTAAACTTCATAAACATGTCAACCACCAAGCAGTTGTGCACAGTGCACCTCTGCACTGTGAGGCAGACGTGCTAACCAGTCATCCACTGTTGAAGTCTTATCCCACTGAAGGAAAAAAAAAGATAGTTCAGGACTGAGAAAACATCTAATCTGTATGTGTTTGTTTTCAGATTAGATAAATGATTTTTGGACACAAGAAACTGGTAGCTTTATTTGCCGATGACACAACATATTCGCTAAGAATCATCCTTGGAGCCGGCACCAAATAATTCTCCGAAATAAACCCATGGACGGGGAATATCTTGCTTCTCCAGATCTGCTGCGTCATCGTTGCTATTGACTGCACCTGTTTAATTATCCAAGTCTCAATTAATCAATCAATCAGGATCTCAACAGCGGTTGATTTCACCACTCGGTACGTCCTTTACACGTCGTGTCGTTATGTTGGAAAAAGTAAGAAGCCTACTTTGACAAAGTGAAGAAAGTTGCCTGCAGTTTTCTGTTTTCAAATGAAGGGAATACAAGTATTAAGTATTAAATGAATAAATACATAAATAAAGTGAATAAAGAGAGCGTTCCGCACCTGGACACGTCGTTACAGGAAAGTGACGTCAGCCTGCCGCGCGCTGACATTAGGGCTACAAAATGACGTCATCGACCGTCCGTCTTCCTCCAAGCAAACATGGCAGCTGCCATGGAGTTGCGATGCTGGGGGGGCGACTGGGGTCTGCCGTCGGTCCACAACGAGTCGCTCGTAGTCCTGGTAACCTTCACGTTTGTTTACGCGAACAAGGCCGTTGCAGACGTCACTTTTCCCGGGATGCCGTGTTTTGTTCGGTCGCTGTCTCCTCTCGGGTTAGCTTCCATGCTAACCTGGTCGGTCTCCAGTCGTTGTTTTCTGCCGGTCGTTGTTATGAAATATGTCTTGACGAATATGCATTTCTAATGCAACATGTTAGTATTTGTGAGTGTTAGCTTCGTTTGAGCTCCGTGGTTTTTTGTCAGTCATCGCGAATAAAATTGTGTTCCTTCAAGGTCAGTACGGAGTAAAATTCCCAAGAGTTACTTCTGTTATTGTTTGTATGCAATAACAGTACAGTTACATGTCAAGTAAATCTGTTTTGTTGACCAACTTTCTTGTTGTAGTTGACTTGTTGTAAATTATGTTTTTGAATTTTCTCAACAAGATGACTCCTACCTGCCCTCTTTCACATAGTTGCCACAATATTTAGGCTTGTCAATTGAGGTCCTGCAATACTGGAACCAAAATCATTTAAGCATCATTTTTTTACATGTATTTGATAATTGTCATAATTAAAGCTATTGTTGCATCATAGCATGTTGAAAACTCAACAGATTAAACAGACTGATTAATAGTTTAGTTCGAATTGATGTTTGCTGTTCATCAGTTTTCAGATTACCGTATTGCATTCATTGTAAACTCATGCCTTATTAAGTTACTTGTATTTTAAATCAGCGTTATTTTCGTGTGAATCATTAAATCCCAATTAAACAAGAACAAGAATCTTTCAATGAGAGGCAGTCATGGGCGGAACTGAATCCTCTGTACAAACAAACAAATATAAAAATAAATAAATGTCCTGCATTGTTTTAAAGAAGTACTTAACTATTTCGTTGAACTTTTTATTGATTTCATTTGCACATGTGGCTAACAAGCCACGTGTGATCAAGAGACTTTCAGTCGCCCAAATGGATATGCAAAAGTTGGTCAGGAGAAATATGCAAAGGATGCCTGCTCACCATCTTGAGCCTGTTGAGAAGATTGAAAAATGCCCCTTTATCGTCATGGAAACATTTGTGGTGCTCATATCATTATCCAAAGTCTCTGCCCTGCTCTTGCGGCTGTCTTTTCTCACCATCTGCGTTAACTCAGCTGTTGCGTTTTTCTTTCAGGCATATGCCAAATTTTCTGGGGCCAAAGTGAACATTTCCCCCATAGACTGGACTTGGAAAACTCTGACAGGTATGCTTACCAGGAGCTGTTTTGAAAGTTTGAAAAGTGCCTGATTTTTTTTTTTTCTCTTAATAACATAGCAACAGTGCCCGAGTTGGTATGTGGTGACACTTCAGTGAAAGAACCCTCACAGATTCTCAACTTCCTGAGAAAGCAGGTATTAGCAGATGCCTCTCACGTGCTACAGCAGATGAATTTGAATAGAATCTGATTGCTTTGTGTTTTTTCCCCAGAGGTTTAATGCAGACTACGAGTTGAGCGCCCGACAAGGAGCCGACACCATGGCTTACATCGCCCTCCTCGAGGAGAAACTGCAACCTGCATTGGTAACAAGACCCCTCCCGCAATCCGTTCATTCGAAAAAGTTACGAGTGCCACTACTGATTCTATGTGCTTCACGTCTTAGTTGCACACTTTCTGGTTGGATGCAGAAAACTACGCCAATCTGACCCGGCCGTGGTTTGCCTCCCATTCGCCGTTCCCTCTAAATTTCCTCGTGCCCAGTCGTCATGCCAACAGCGCCCGCTCTCGCATCCTGCTGACCAGAGGAGAGGCGCCGTTATGCCGAATCACAGAGGTGGAAGGAAAGGTAAACAGAGGTGGCTTCAAAACAAAAAAAAAATGTGCTTGTCATCATCATTTCCACACTGTTCTTTCTCACTGTCAGCTGTACAGTGACGCCAAGGAATGCCTCAATCTTCTGTCCTACAGACTGGGAGAAGCAAACTACTTCTTTGGCAACTTGTACGTATACGAATAAGATGCAGCTCAGCACAATGTCATTGTTTCAAAGCCCCCGTCTTTGCTAATAATAAAAAACAAGGAGGGAGGAGCTGAGCAGCAGCGAAAAGGAGGGCCCGAATCTGAAGTCAGTCTTTCATTGGAGGGATGCGCATATTTACTACTCATTGTTTGAATGTGAACAGAATAGTAGTAAAGTCGAGTTTCTCCCTTTGCTGCGTCGCAGTTGAGTGTATTTGAAATGTGTTGGTGATTTCAGACCCACCAGCCTGGATGCTTTTGTGTTTGGGTTTGTGGCTCCACTCCACAAGGCCCACCTCCGCAACAGCCCCCTGCAAAGCCACCTCAGAAAGCTGGAGAACCTCACACGCTTCTGCGACAACATCCTGGCAGACTACTTCAGCTCGGCCCAACCGGGTAAGTTCAGCACATGGACGGAGAGAAAAAGTCCCACTTGAACGCTTCAGCACTAACATGTAAAAATCTCTCTTTTGAAGCAACTCACATCCTCGGTCATTCCTGACCAATTTGTTTTGCTTGATGCCTTTCTAGGGGTGAACCCTTTTTATTTCCTTTTCCACTAAAGCTTGTCCGGCTGTGTTCTTTTTCCACGGATGTCCCTGTTTTTCCAGGTCTTCCCCCATCTGTTCAGGAAACAATGGATGCCAACCTCCAAAAACTAACTCAGCTTGTAAACAAAGAATCCAACTTGATAGAAAAGGTGCTTTCTTTTCTTTTCTTTTCTTTGCATGACTGACAATTATCAAGCGCTTCAAGATGCACACTGGCCAAAACATTAGGTACCCCTGCGTCATTGAATGATCTTACCCAGTGCAGGGGGTTGTATCATGAACATTTCCACATATTTGCGTCTGTTCTGCCAGATGGATGACAACCTTCGCAGCAGCCCTCAGCACAAACTTCACCGGCCGCAGCCCAAACCCGGTCTGGTCATAGAAAAGAGCTCAACACCTGCCTAAACGCCTCCCCCACCCTGCCCACGATCCTGCCTGATGAACGAGGGAAGAACACCGTGTAGATGAGCGTCGTCAACGTTAACCACAGTGTAACCGACCGTGTCTATAAAAACAAAAGCCAGTTTGAAAGTAATGATTGATGGCTTTCAACGATGTCGGTGGGAAAGAGAAGAAAGTACGACACAGGGTCTTTAACGCACGATGGCGCTTTATAGAATAATGCACCGGTGCAACATGCGAAAGACGGAAGGTTCAAATGAAAGGCAAAAGGAAAAGAAGACGAAAAGTCCTGCTGTTTAAGTGGTGCTGCGTTTACATTTTATTTTTCCATAAGGGAAATGGACTTAATACGTTTGACCCTTTAAGGCTCCTATTCATATCAACATAATCAAAATTGCTCAGTGACTTTTTTTTTTTTTGTTCATTTTAAAACTCACCCACTGACCCAACACTACTACTTTAGCTGTTGAAAAAGACATGACAAAGTGTCCTGCAAAGTGAAGTTTAATGCCGCTTATGCATGCAAACCACTTTTGTGAAGCTTGTATAATTGTAAATAGAATGTCCAAATGAAACGATGAATGCAATTCGCTCGTAAAGGGCTCGGCTGCTTGTTTGTTTGGTTCACTGTGGGGATGAAAGAGCCGTATTCACCGCTCACTGTAACACTTGAGGTGCTGTGTGGATTACATGATTACATCCATACTTTTTGCCTAGTATTCCCCCCCTCATAATCTAAATCCTGTCAATATTTAAAGGTATTTTATTTGTTGTGTGTTATATGTACAGGGAAGTGTGTTTTGTGTGTTGAATCCATCCTTGCATCCGGGCCAAAAGGGAAACTCCGCATTCAAAGGCCCCAAAGTCAGTTAAGAGTGGCCATGCTGGAATTCAACTCGGGACCCTCTTGCCGTGAAGCAGCTGCGCATGTGTTAATTTGAAACATTAATTGTTTGCTGTTCCTGCATTATCTAACTGACATTCTTTTTGACCTCAAGTCCAAATTTGAAATGTGTCAACTGTTGGTTGCCTTTGAAGTGGCGTTTTTTTTCCCTTTCTTTGTATTTTTTTTTTTTTTTTTTTTTTAATGTTTATCAAGTTTATTGGATTGGATGACATAATCAAACATGAATTCATGCGGTACCGGAATTTGTGTGTCATCTTTTGTGTATTGACTTATACAGACTTGTGAGGACTATTGTACTCCTATTTGCTCGTGTGCCTTCATTGCTTCTTTCATTTTAATGGTTTATGGTCCTAAAACGACATCTGCAGCTATTGCTAATGCACTTTGACTGGAAGGTAACAACTTCAATAAAAGTTGAATAAAGTAGGATAACAAAGTGTTTTTGTTGAATGTAATCTTTTTTTTTTTGTTGATGTTGCTTTCAGTTATGACAACTAAGCTCTGCTTTGAATTGCGTGGGCGGCAGTTGAAGCCATCGCCATGCCTTTGATAGTGAGATGGTCTGTTTACTTGTTTGGAACACAGAATGCGCTTTGTTTGCGCCTGGCCTTTGGCTATGGAAAACAAGTGAGACTAATTGAGAGGAAATGATGCCAAGTCAAGATCAGATAGTGTCCCGGCTATTGTTGACATGAGAGAGACAGACTCCTGCTGAGACCTGGCTGCTTATTTAGGGAGTGTGTGAACAAAGCATTACCCAAAACCACAACAAAATGTGTATTTTCCCCGCCGCCCAATTACAACCAAGCGTGTTAAATGCCACTGGTGAAATAAGGTATCCAAATGGCCCGTGCTGGGAAACTGAACCTTTTGAGTTTTACTGGCATCATCCACACGTAATTAGGGTAAAAGAGTTAAGGACGTGTGTCCGTATTGCGTATTACAAAGCAGAATTAATCGGCACTAAAATTCCCGTATATAGTAGTGCCACCTTGTGTTCAAACTTGGTAATGTGGACTGAATCAAAACTACAGCTGAGCAAATAGAAAAATAATCGTGTTCATTCATCTCAACAATATCTGATTCCAGTAAGGAAAGAAATTGGAAACAGTACCCAGAAACAAAAACACATAATCAATTACGTATGTTTACAAAAATCTTCATACAAAAACGGTCATATTCACAATAAGAAAAACAAGTGCTGCACTATAATTCACTAATAGATTCAACTTGGACAACAAGAGGCTTTAAATGAATCATTTTCGAACATTAGAATTTAAAGTTTGTCACGAAGGTGTAGGAAAACAGAATAATTACAAAGCAGTTCAAAAATTGCATGCTGTCTAAAGTTTACAGCAAACAACAATGTGAAGAACTCACTTCTATGAACTTCATGTCAGTCCAGTTGCCTTTCACATCCTGATGAACTTGTCATCTAGTGGTTTGATATTTACAATTTTATAACATTTTTACAAGGAGGACCGATTCAATCAAGTCCTTGACTTCAACATATGATTTTGCATGACAGCAAGCTTCATCATAATCAACAACCTCTTTTACCTTGGGCAAACTCTGGCACCTGCGGCACCATACCGACCTCCAATCGACCCGGCATATCCAAGGCCAGAACAGGATGGCACACCCCTGTAAAGTTATGCTTGAAAGAGCCCAACAACTGACCCGTTAGCGCATTGTAGAAGTGCAATCGACCCCGCTGGTAGTCCAGGAGCGTGCCCACCCGCTCGGGCGACTCTATCACAAAGATGCTGGACTGAGCGGCACCGTGGAGCATCTGGTACCTGCAACTAAATGAACACAACCGCAAGCAGACACTTAGACCAATTTCAGTATCCAATACAGACAGACGTTTGTATTTCAACGTACCCGGATGGCGACGGGATGCACTGTAAACACCATGAAAGTTTGTTTTCCCCCAATGGGCACTTTCTCCAGGCTGAGCTGTACGCTACCCCAAGCCTGTAAGCTGCACATCCTGACACCGTAGTCTCCCAGTAGTGGTGACCCCTCGCTGGTAATAACTCACCTCTGATGGACGGGGGCCTGGAAATGAGAAAATACACTGCATGGATGTTCTCTACAAAGACACACAAACAGGAAGTGAAAACAGAAAAAAACGGTGAGAGATAGTAAAAGCTTCCACTCTTCCGGGAAGTCTTTCGACATGGATGGGAGTGTGTCTGTGGTCAAAGGTTACCGATGCTGGATATGAGAAAACCTGCCTTGCAATCATGGCTCCATTTCATTCCATATTCAATAGTGCTGACGTCAAGTGTTTCAACATCAAATACATCCAAAAACGCTTTCATTGGCTTTTTTAGTAGTAGGCGGGGGACACCCTGAACCGGATGCCAGCCAATCGCAGGGCGCACATAGACGAACGACCATCCGCGCTCACACTCACACCTCGGGACAAGTTAGAGTGTTCCGTTAACCTGCCATGTATGATTTTGGAATGTGGAAGGAAACGGGAATACCCGGAGAAAACCCACGCAGGCCCGGGGAGAACATGCTAACTCCACATGGGAAGGCCAGAGCTGGAATCAAACCCTGCACCTCTGCACTGTGAGGCCAATGTGCTTAACAAGTTGACCACCGGGCCGCCTTGAAGAATAAATTGTGTACGCAATTGACATTCAGTCAATTGTGTAGTTCATACCCGTTCATTTGTACTTTATTATTTTCATCACTGGAGGGAGGGGGAAAAACAATGACAAAGATAACATGCTCATTAGCTGACTTATGTCTCGCAGGGCATCATACGATGTTTTGTTTCGGACCGTTTTGACCATCTCGCCAGAAAAATGTAGGTTGAACTCCAAATTGAACATCTATTTTGGACTTCAACATATACCGTACTTTACTTACTGTTTTTCTGTGGATGAAATGTGTTTTTGATGAGCATCTTGGGACAAGTAAACGGTGGTTTGGTCTTCTGACAGCACCAGAGCAGGATGAGCTGAAGCTTCCAGCAAATGAAACCTTGTTGCTGAAAGCAATTAAATAGTTACATTAAAAAAAAAAAAAAAAAATACACTGTTAGGACACTTCTTTCGGTTGCACAGTAGGATGCTGTGATTAAGTTAAAGTACCGTATGGCCCGCAAGTCACATACGGCCCCCCCCCGCTCTGTTCTTTAATCCAGCATCAGTATTGACAGTACACATATATAAAGCATCTTTAATTATTAAGAAAAGCACGGTACAAATCTATGACTATCATTCTTGTTTTAACCCTTTCAAGCACCCTGTAACCTGACACCATGATAAGCTGTCGACTGTCGTAACCGCTGTCCCTGAAAACGTTAATAATTAAATGTCCTTTGACATTTGTTGGGGTCTTTAAGAACGTTCTTTCCTAAAATTGGCTTGATAAATCTATTCGGATTTTTCCCCCTTTACAGTAATTTGTTAATTGCAAACATTAAAATACAAAAACACTGCGGAAACAAAGTACCGGTAGCCAACATTTTCTTGGGCAGTTTTGGATGAAGAATCCAAATATCTCATTACCAGTAGTTTCTCTCTGTACACGCCCCGCACTCCAAGCTTTGACATTTTTTAAAAAAGTGCAGGAAAACCATTTTTTTTCAATGAAAATCTGATTTTTTTTCTCATTGTAATTTTGGTAGAATATTGATGTCTTCTTTTTATTTTATTTTTTTGATGCAGACCGGTGTAATCCAACCCAAAATGTAATCATTTGTCACAACATCTCCAAACGACGTGGCCCACCTGTCCGTTTTAAAAACTCCGTCAGCTATACACAGTAAGTAATAATATATCCGTGTTTATCAACAAGGTTTAGAAATATTATTGTCAAACGATTGTGGAAACATCTCTCAGCACAATGTTGCTCAGTTGTTCTATATAGAATGAGGGGGTGCAGGGGGGTGGGTGGCAATCATAATCAGATCATCTTTCAAAATCGGTCAGCCCGATCGTGCAATGCGCCACATCGAGTATGTACGAGGACATGATTTGGAACCTTTGGTTGAAATGAGAGCAGCCTCGCTTTGTTCGCTGGCTCCAGCTTCATTCACCGCTTTGATGTAAAAGAGATAATTCTCATTGGGCTGCAGCCGAACTCCATGTTCACAGCTTTTTATGCCAGCAATTGATCTAGAGGAAGAGCAAAAGAGGATGTGCGCGCGCACACACACACACACACACACACACACACACACACACACACACACACACACACACACACACACATTTAACCGTACTGTGCAAAATCTTGAGGCCACCACAATCCGTGTCGCTTTCAATGACCTTTTTTTTCACAGCAGTCATTTTGACAAAAGGTGCCGAGAGAGCCGGAAGCAATTCCATGAAGAGTTTCATTCCGTTTAGGTTATAAGGAACATCTTGCTCATCAAGTAAAATCATCATGGTAGCCAAAGACTTGAGTGGAATTTGCTAAATAAAGTCAGAAATCTAACACTGCCCACCTCAGCCCGTCTCCTTCCAGCTCATACTGGCGACAGTATTCCAAGATGAAACTCTGTCCAGGATTCTGTTTTGCCGGGTTCCATCTCAGCATGGCCGAGTCCCACGTGACGGTGCATCGCTCGCTGTCCATCACGGGCACTGACGGAGCTGTAAAAAGAAAAAAAAAAAAAAAAAAGTCCTCCTTAGCTATAATGTCTTGCTTTCATGAATGCATCAAGGTGCGCAACTGACCAGTGGTGAAGACGAGCCTCTCGCTGGGCAGAGAGCAGCCCGTGTAGTTAACAGCCATCACCCAGACTTTGTAAGACTTATCTGGCTCCAGCTCTTCCAGGACGCAATAACTCTCTTTCACCGTCACGCGGTACTCCTCGGACACAGCTGTGGACAACACACTTCCAGTTCAATTAAAACTTGACAATCATCATGAATTTACATCCAGAATAGGTGAACGGTGTAAGAATGACAACAATTTGGATAGGTGGCTCCCGCTTTATAAGGAATCAAAAGTAATGGGACAATTGGCAACTCAGCTGTTCCACGGCCTGGTTGGCGCGAATGGCCGCCGATGGAACTGCTTCCCTTGCGTTTATTGATGTGACTGCTGACAAAAGCGGCAGGATGACTGCTGAAGTGTTTCAAGTGATCTTATCTGCTCGTATTCAGCTAAACACTTCAGAACTCATCGTACGGCGCCGCACAGTGCAGATGGACAATAACCCGAAACATACTGCGAAAGAAACCAAAAAATAATAAAAAGTTTGATTTATATTGTTTATTTGTCCCATTACTTTTGATCCCTTAAATAGCGGCGGTATATAATTTGTACACAAAGTCTTGAAAGTCCTACACCATTCCACTGAATTCCTGAATAGGGTATCCAAAAAAAAAAAAAAATTCTCATTGGCATCGTCATCATTGTTAAGTATCTTGCGTAGGCGATTGTAACGTCCAGTGAAAGATAGAAAAA